GATCACTAATCCTGGGAAAGGCCTTTTCTAACCACCATCATCATCATAATCATCATCATCCACTGTTACTGGTAACGGGATACACCCAAGTTCCAGGTTTCTGTTCGTTCTGTGTTCTGTGCTCTGCACCTCTGCACAGCTCGAAGGTGGATGCCCAGTCGCTGGTATCCACAGATGGTGAGTGGAAGCTGAGCCCCTCAGGAGATGTTTCCGAGATCCGATCCTCGAAAGAATACGAAACGAGCAGACTAGCTGCTTGTTGCCTTAGGGGGGAGCAGGTGAAGATGGATTCAGCGATCTTCAAGAACATGTGTGTGTGGTTTTGATTGCCAGGAGGTAGCTGTGATGACGTGTGTGGAACAGGGCTTTGCGATACCTCGAAGCAAGAACAACTGACTGGCCAGCTTGGCTTTGCTTTGCAATATTTTTGCTCTGTTTCGTGCAATGTGGTAGACCCTGATTGGTTGCATCTTTGGGGGGGAACAACAAATTAACACGGATCCTTTCTGTTCATTTGGTCTTCCTTTTTCCAAGCCAGCACCGTTCCAAGATAGACAAATCCGATACGGCGCCAGACTGCTCGGTGGCTACACTTGCCGAGAGACGATGTCTCCTAACAGCGATGATGGTGCTCCAGGGGTCTTGGCCTCCAACAGCCAGTGCTACAGGTACAGCGGACAAGCTGGTAAAACGACGTGTGGCGCAACCTTCTATTCGCTGCTTGGATTTGCAGCGTTGTTTCACACCACTTTCTTTGTTTCGCCACCCCGGTCGCCGACCGTTCCCCTCGCGTGTGTCCGTGTGGCGGTGTGGCGGCGGTCCGAGGAAGAGGCGGTTTTGCTATTGCAAAGATGCGAGCGGAGGCAGCTCGGGGGATCCCCACATCCAATCGCTGCGCGGTGCTCACTATAGCCTCTTGAAGGAAGGCACCTTCCTGGCGTGGAGCTTTTCCAAAGCGCCCGTCGAGTGGCAGCTCTATGCCCACTACGCAGGCTGGGTTGCAGAAGTGGCCCCATATCATGGTGTTGCTGGACTATTGTACCACATGAGCAACCCCCCAACACGTGCGAACAGTTTCATGCAGAGCGGTGGATAGGCCCACCTCAAAGGCGATAAACATGCCGCCGCAGTTTCTGGATATGTTCAACTTTGTTGAATGTGTGGGACCTGAAAAAGCGATAGGCCCACGTCAAAAGCGATAGGCCCTCGTTGAATCATGTCATCTTCGTTACAAGGCGTTTTGGCAGACGCTCACATCATTAGCTTTGATGCAAGTAGGGTACCTCTCGCAAACCGCAATGCCAAGGTTCAACATTTACGACCCAAGGGCTCTTGCTGTTGGACAAGAGTCTTGGACGTCGCATGGAAATGACCGCGGAGGATTGTCAATGGCGCAGCCAGGAAGGCGGGAAGTGGCATGCGGTCAAGTCTGGCGCACAGGAGCTCTCTTGGAAGGTGCAAACAACTAACCTGACCAGTCCGGACCTTGTGGTGATGGGATCCGAAATCAATCTCAGCATGGAAGTTCCCCAAGGCCAGCACAAGGTTGCGCGTCTCCTGTCCCACTGCACCCCCCGGTGATCATTTGGACTTCAAGCTCACCATGTTCAAGAAGGAAGACATTGACTACGTGAATGGTGAACTTGGAGTTGACCCACAAGTCTGGAACACGTCCTCCCTCTTCTACTCCAAAAGCAGCCAGATGCAGATGCGAAGCGATCTCGAGTTTGAGGCTGGGTGTCTACGTGTGTCTACCATGTTTAGTCTTCAGCACCACCCAAAGGAATACAACACTCGGATGTAGGCCCCGCCTCTAGTTTTCTCACTCTGTTTCAGGCATCCGAATCTTGGTCCAACTTGGGTGGCAGTGCGGCTGCAGCGGAATATTTGAAGCAGAAACAGCAGGAGCAGGCTGAGGCTTCCCTGGTGCTACGCAAAGACTGCACTGAATCTGAGATTCGGGCAGCCACAAAGACTTGCGCCAAGTACTTGAAGAACATCCTCAACCAGGACGTCTTTGCCGACTGCGTCTTCGATGTTTGCCATGGTGGAGGTGAGGCGGAGGCAAAGCGTGCCGCTTTGCTTTTTTCAGGTTAGGTCGCCGCTGGTTCTTGGTTTCACGCAGCTTGAAGGATGTTGGTTGGAGAAATGGAGAGTTGCAGAGCTATAGTGATAATATTACTGTATAGTGCTGTATCTATTGGCCAACTTGGTGATTGAAATTGGGCAGCTTTGCTTGCCTCAAAGCTAGCCAGGAGCATTGTTTGTTTGCTGTGCCAAGCTGCTAAGCTTTTGGACTTCGCTGGGTATCCCATTGTGGCGTCCAGCAAAGATTCCCTCTTTTCCCGAGATGCTAGAGGTAGACGCATGGTTTTCTCTGAGCAAAAAAGCTTTGGCGTTTTGATTTCGCCGGGCAGTCATAGAGAAACCGCGGCGTCCAGCAATTAAGCTGAGCCTCTTTTCCTCGGCATGGTACTTGCAGACGCAGCCTTTTTACATGGATTTTGCACACAGAGAAGCTGTGGCACATATTCGTCCAGCATGGCCACGAGCTCTTTTTCCAAGATGGAATGTGAGGCAGCTGCATGCTGCGCTCAAACTTGTTGCGCTCAAACGAGCAAAAGAGTCGTTGTCTTGATGGCTAGTTCAACAGCGCACACTTGCTAGAGATAGGTGTGACTGGGCGCATGTCTCGAACTAAAACAACTTGTCCAACGAAATCATCGTTTTCTGAAGCTTACTATACTGGGGAAATGACAAAGAACTGGTCGGAAGCATGGACAAGCTGCAATCCCAACTGGTCCCCCTGTCAGTCGCGCTGCTCGCGCTGCTCGTTCTCTGCGACGTCGCTCCAAGCGCTCCACGGCCAGGAAGACGCAACTGTGGATGGGATGACTGGAGGCCACGACACATGGCGTGGGTCGGTAGAAAGAAATCTGGGAAAAACATCTGAGATCATCTGAAAGAGGAACATTGATGGTGTTTTGATTGCGTGGTCGGCTTCGTAGAGCGTTCAAGTGGATGCGTGGTCGCATCCGGAATCCGGAGAAGCACCTGAAGGTGGACCCTTCTGCACAAATGCAATAGACAAGTTGTGGATTTCCGGTTCTAGTCACGAAAGCTAGCACCAGTAGCTGGAGTTGTCCTTGCTTTAGCAAGTGAGGGGCTGGAATCCTCGAGATCGCCGCATCACATGAAAACTTCATATGTAGGGGGGGCCCCGCCCCCCTCCCTCCCCGCCCGTGGGTTCAACTCCCCCCTGGGACGCCTCTGGGACACCTCTCGGGCACCTCTTGTGGCATCCACTTTGGTTTAACTCCTCCGGGATACGGTGCAACAGACTCAACAAGCTCACAGGTTCATGACATCGACATTGATAGAAGAAACCAAACAAATCATGCAAGCAGCTTTGTTTTGCCTCTGGGACACCTCTTGGGCACCGCTTATGGCATCCACTTTGGTTCAACTCCTCCGTGGAGGTTTTGGGATACGGTGCAACAGATTCAACAAGCTCACAGGTTCGTGAACACATCGGACGCATCGAACAGTATGGCAAAGTCCAGCCACGCTTCCTTAATTATATATTGGGGACTTCAATTCTAAGGTTGGCTGTGTCATTGCTGTTTGTGTGTCTTACATGTTCACAACGTTTTACCTCATCACCATTTGCCTCACTCCGCTTGATGTCCCACCAGTCCGGATGCACCCCTGCTAGCTTTCGTCACCTACCCTCGGCCTCAAGTTGGATTTCTTCGTTAGTACCAACGGTTGGATAGTTGTTCAGCAACTCGGATGGGAGCAGGGCGTGCTGGTTGGATGTTGGCAAAGTGGATGCAGTGCGTCGGACGTCAAGCAGGAGCACTGCCTGGACATATAAGATATTTCGTTGTTATGACTGTGGTCTCATGGATTATCCAAGTTGATTTACTCTTTGGATCACCTGGCATACCAAAGCAAGGTTCGGACATCGTAGAGTTGTCGATTGTCAGGATTTGTCATGCCTGTCTCTACAAGAGATTTCAATCCACTCATCCACAAGCCCACGAAATCCTAAACCTCCAACGACCTCATTTCAAGCTGTCCTTTTTGACACGTCAGTTAGACGTTGCTTGCTTGCTTTTGCTTTTGCTTTTGCGTTGCTTTTGGTTTTGCTTTTCTTTGCGTAGCCTTGCCTTCTTGCTTGCTTTGCTTTGATATGATTTGCGTTGCGTCGCGCTGCTGTGCTTTGCGCTGCTGTGCTTTGCGCTGCTGTGCTTTGCGTTGCTGTGCTTTGCTTGCTTGCTTGTGTGCTCTCCGGCGGATAAACATGGGAATGAGCCATATTTTTTTTTGTAAGAGCTTCTCAAAAGTGATTAAACCTGGGAACTATCGACTCCAGGGACACTCTTTCCGAAATTCGACCGAGCCGCGAAGCCGCCAAGCACTGCGAAGCCCTGCTATTTTTTGTTGCACCGCTGAAGGAGGGGTCTCTGAGAAGGACTTGGTCTTCAATCGGAGATTCTTGAGGCACAGAGGGTTGCCGCTGCCAGATTCTGCTCTTTATATCTGCCACGAACGCACGGGCTGCTATGATCTTCCAGGTGAATTTCAGGTTGACATCTCTTCTGCGAAGATGCGTTTGGTGGGACAAGTCATTAGGCTTGTCGTGGGTTGAAACCCGAAACTGGAAGAAATTGGGCGGACAGTGGTGCTCACCGAAGAAAGGTTACTGCGTAATTACTCTTGAGAAAACTCAGTGCTTCTTGGACGGTAGGGGCGATGCTTGCCCAGAATTCAGTAAATCAACCACCAGGTTTTGGTACAGATTTGGCAGGCTGGTGATGCAGGTGATGTCCTTGGTGTTGTGTTATTTGCGTACACTGCCCTCATCGATCCTTCATTAGGCGTCTGGGCGCCACGCGGGGAAATGTCAAAGCGCGCTTCCCGCGTGCGCTGGATGTGGGCGCTGGCATTGGACGGGACCCTAGACTGGCTTGAATTGGCTGTTGAGGGTCAGGTTTTGGTTGTGCGTGACCTTTAAAACTGTTCCTTTCAAAACGCAAAGCCCGTCAGTTCAAACATGGTGGGGTGAAGCCTGGCACAATTGAATGCGTTGCCAGCCAAGGCTCCATGAGAGCGAATATCGTGCCTGAAAAAGCTAGGCATTTTACGCAATAATGGTATCCTAAACATGTCGTATCATTGTCACAAAAATAGCTGTTTCACATGTGAGCAACCACTTTTATTTAGGCTTTACTAAAGTAGTCTACGGCATGCTCTATTTGCTGGTCTATCATCAGTATTCGCTTGTGAACGAGATAGGCCCCCACAATCACGAGATATATCTTTTGTTTGATGTCACTAAAGCAGTCTGAACGAGATAGTGTGATTTGCTACTAAAGTAGTCTGAGTGAGATACTGTGACATGACCTCCTGCTTAAGTAGTCTAAACGAGATAGGGCCCCCACATAAGAGATAGTATATTTGAGCCAAGTACCAAATAAATGCCGTCGCACATGTGTGGATTCACCAGAGGTCTTTCCGCCACTGGATTATCTGGTGAATATATGTGAATATGCCTCACCAGTCACCAGTGAGCATCAACCCGCTCTTTAAAGAATATGGTTTCCGAGGCAGACTTGCTCAACATCTTCTCGGTGCCCGATGTGATTTCGTAGACTTGCATGGGCCCCAACATCGCTTGAGTCAATCGTTGAGATACATTTCTGGCTGCGGATCTGCTCCGTGGGGCACAAACCTTTAGCCTCGCACCACACGCACTGCATGATCAAATCTTCACCCATGGCACCGAGCCAGTGAAGGGCCGTTTTCTTCTTGGAGCGGAACCATTTTTTTGAGACACGAGTATAGATATCATAGATATAGTAGATATTGATAGATGAATAGATAGCTAGGCTAAATGGCCTAAATGCAGGCTCAACAGGACAAATTGACTTTGACTTTGATGAGGCTGGAACCTGTAGAGAAACATCTGGAAGCCGCGAAGAAGGAGTTGCACCAAGCAACATGGTTCCTGAGCTTTAAAGCTGCCATGCCGGAGGGTGTATTTGATTATTCACCATTCGTGGGCGGGATTACAAGGTAGTCCAATGGTAAGAAGATGGGATAATGATGGGATAGGATCTTTTTTGAGTCCAATGGTAGTGGGTTGATGTTTGGGACAAGCAACTTTATTGAATGATTCGGAGATGTTTGGGAGATGGGTGCAGACGCCAATGGGGTCCACGACAACGCACTCTAATACATGAAGAAAGGAAACAAAAGTAGAAGAGCTATTTTTGCAACCACTTTCCAAGTGAGTTTTGCAATGGTTTCCATGTCAGATTGATACGGGGTACCCTCATATCAGCCGAGCCGTAAGCACCCGACTATTTCATTGTCACCCTCACGTGACGTTTCGGCTTCATGGAGGCCTCTCCTTCCTCAGACCAAAACCTCCAGAGTGAAATCCAACGCCTCGAGGCCGGGCGACTTCTACTGCGCGACATTGCAGGACTTTCAATCCACCAGGCTGGGGGACTGGGCGGGAATCCTGCCGTTTCGGACAACGTGCACTGGGCGGGGAAGTGAAATTTACGTCTCCACGCGTGCAGGTGAGACGAAAAGGATACCACTTTTTTGGCATGGATGCTTTAGGTGAGATGTAAGCTTTCATGAAGATCCTGGCATGGATTTGCCAGCAAGGTGTCCATCTTGGGCCATCCAAGTTGGAGAAACGGTTAGGATCAAACGGGTAGGATCAGCTCTGGTATGAGATCTACTTTTGCTTGCTTTTTTGTCCGCTTGCTGCTGCACGTTTGTGCACCCCGGAATTTCACCCACGTTTTGGAAGACCCTTTGATTCAAGCGATCACTTCGTTTGGAGGGCCATCTCCCTCCATCCACTACCAATTTAAGCATGGCAAGATCACACTTTTGCAAGAGGCTGCGCCATCATGCGCAACCTGAAAAGGGCCTATCTTCCACAATTGTCAATCATTTTCTTCTATCCAAGAGGTGCTTCTTCAGCTCCTCCCGGTCACAACCCTTTCCGCTTTCGAAAGCAGTCCCCTTTCTGCAGGCTCTACGACCTGATTTGGTGCCAGTGGTGACCTTAG